TTTTTTTTTTTTTTTTTTTTTTTTTTTTTTTTTTTTTTTTAACGAGCGAACCAAATCCAGAGATAAATTGTCGATTGTCTATTGCTTGGCAAACAAACGCAGCAGAGAAGTGTTTATTATATCTGACCGAATTAATTACAGTCGGCAAGTGGAATGTAACTCAGCCATTGGGCTGTAGTGTGGCCATCGACGAAACACGTTGAAACAAACTTGCGCTGTTACATATTGATTGGCTTCGTCCAATGCCCGCCCCTGTATGAGTTTCGAAACAAACTTATTCGAAACGCAATTCAACAGGTTTTTGTGTATCGCGTGCAAACATCGGTTTGTTCGTGTTCCACAGGCCGCGGGGAATTCTCGGCTGGTGTTGTTTAAAACGTAATCGGGAACCAGTTAGACGATCGAGCCGTGTCACTCTGTTGTTATGTGATTAATCGATTTTAATGTTTGGGGTAGTTTCATGATGTCTAATGAAATATTATTGATCGACTCTTTGAGAATATCTTTCAATATTTGTGAAAATTCTCTAAATCTTTCTGGGATTATCAAGCTATGATGAAGAAAAAGTTGAGAAACATTTTTTCTTCATTACTTTTTTCTCATTATAAGAAAAAATAATTCATAATCTTCAACGAATCAAACCAATTCGAACGACGAGAACAATTCAAATTAAAAACCGAGTTAAAAAAAGAAGCAATTTAAATTTCATAAAAAAAAAGAAGTACATTTATTCCTGAAAATCTGCATGAACCACGAAATACGAAAAAAATTTCACAATCTCCAATGAAAGAAATCGGATCAGGCGAATCCAAACCTACTTCAAACGAATCCAAACAAAAAACAATACCGATTCAATCCAAATCAGAATCGAAAAGAACCATCTTAAATTCCGTATAAAAGCGCATTAATCTCCATTCCATTGACTCGAACGTTAATCATCGATCAAGATCGGCCTGTTCCCCATAGGTCGGGAGAGGAGAACCAACCATGGAGAGAAAGAAGAAAGAGAGAGAGAGAGAATTCGCACGACTCTGTCGGCCCTGTTTGCCCGCCAGTTAACGAGTGCGGCTCGACGACGACGATACGCCAAGCAACCTGTACGCATTATACGCTGAATGAGGCGGCCAATCTCACCCCTAGATCTCGGTTTGCAGCAGCAACCGAGTGAACAGTTGGCCGGCAGCAGCAAGTCCTTTTCAAGGCCTACACACCGGCGCAAACTTATCGCGGAAACCGAGCTACGGCCATTTGCGTTTCATGAACTCTCTCTCTCTCTCTCTCTCCCTTTCTGTGCTCAACCGAGAGAATGGAGCGAAATGCGGAGTAAAAAATTTATCTGGAAACTCGGAGGGGAAGAGAAAGAGGGAAAAGAGAGATGATTGTGTTACGTCGTTTCCTAGAGGAGCGAGTGACTACTGGGGATTGTTATTTCTTTCGGTCGACTTGATATCTCGAGGCCTGATTGAGAACGAGGCTGATAAGGATGGCGGAAGTTTGCTGGTGGTTCGTGAAACCGAGAAAGAAGAAATGGCTTGGATATTGCGGTGTGCGAAGCGGATCACGTAGGATGAAGATGGAGTTACGATAGAGTGAATGTTTAATTTCTTGGATTTGATGGTATACTGGTTAACGTGAATTCTCAGATTGTAGGAAGGAATGGATGAAAAATGGATTTTCTTAGATCAGAATAGATAAATGAATTAGTAAGTGGATGAACTCTATTTTTTTCTTTTCTTCTTTTGGATCTCGAGAAAAAGGAATTTCGTGATCAGAATGGATTATATATATATCGATTATCAATGGATCTAAGAGTAAAAATATTTTACTTTTAATCTAGATTGAATTTAAGAATATTAATGTCACGAGAGAATACGTAATTTCTGATAAAAAATCAAAATTATTGTACATCATCGCTCAAGTGAAATTATATTAGAATAGCTTGGAATATTTAATCACTTGAAAGCCTGTGCATAGGAAGATCAACGAGTTTACGCATCAAACATCACAGCTTTCAGTAAGATCCATGTAACTGCTCGGATCAACAACGCTCCGAGCTTAAATCGGCGAAGCTACACGAGCGCCAGCTACACGATCTCGAGCGATACTGTCCTTTAAGCTCTGCCATCTTGTCTACTCATATGTAAGCCCTTATCTTTACGTTGGACGTGAAACTATCGTAGAACGATTGCATGGAGAGGTGATGTAAAAGGTAATGTCGTAAATAAAAAGAACTGTTCGATTGTAAACGAATCAACTGTGTTGGAAATGATAGATAGATCCCATAAGGGAGTAAATTCATCGATCGTGACAAGAATTATGTATTTGTACACGAAATTTGCCAGAGAAAAGAATTGTTAAATAGAGGAAAACTTTTTTATCTAGTTAACTACATTCCATCGAGTTCAAGATCGAGCGTTTCAGACCCAGAAGAGCATCAACAATTTACAAGCATCGTTCTCTGAACGAAAATTGATATATTTGGAACGATAATCTTTTTTATGGTATTTTGAATGTTTCTATCTGTTGTCTTTTTTTTAATTTCACGATTTTAAAAATATTTAGACTTGAAATTGTAATATTTATGTTCTAAATAATGATATTTTGAGTATGATATTACATATTACAATTGCAAAAGTACAATCGTTTCGAGTATTTATATAAATTAAAATATCTTTAATAATTCTTCCATATTTTCATTTTATGATATTTCTGCATCATTGACATGAAATTTGAATAACTTCAAACTATTTAATATAATCTTTTTCCAATCGCAATCCTCTTTCAGTTCAAACAATCTACGAACTCCCCCCTCATATTTGCACAAAATCCAACGTATATATATAATCGAATGGTTGGAAAAGTATATAAAAATAATCGTTGAATCACGATTCTCTCCCTCTCTCGAAAATTTGTATTCGAACAAAAATAAGTACGCGAAGCATTTATCCAATCATCTCAACACAATAGCTGCTCGAATCAACAAATTCCAGTGGTGCTCGGGGATTCAGGTGGATACGTAGGGGCTGTGAGCGTAATCCACGGGGGCACAACCGCGGCTAACGAGTGAAGCACGAAGATGATGCACGAGTATTATCTCGTGAATGGGTCGCAATCTCGGTCCTAGATCTGTTGGTGTAGGCAGTCGAGTTGAGCAGTCGGCATACCTCGGGACAACCTTTTTCGGGACAGCACGACGGACGTAAGCGGATGTGATGCAAGAGATCGTCGTTCCACGCCCCGTTGGAGCTCGGTTGAAAAGCTCGACGACGTTAAAAAAAAGGCCACCCTTATACCCCCGTGTCGCGTGACACAGGCGGAGAGAGGCTCGTTTGTTCCCGGCCGTTTCTCTCTCCTTCTCCTCGTTGAGACGCTGCTTTTATATTGATTCTCCGCCTCGCGAGCCTCCCCGCCCCGTCCTGTCATTATTTTAATAAACACGTTCGAGGCCAATGCTTATCAACCCTCGTGATTGCAGTCGTTGGATATATCTCGCCCGGATCGCGTTATCTTTCGTGGAAATGATTACGAGTAATTCGATTAATCGTCATTATTTCGAGGATAACGAATCGAGGGGTAGGTTCGGTTGAGGGGGTTGTTAAAGCTGATATCGTGAATAACGGGGGGGGGGGATTTTTTGGATACGAAGTTTGGGGGAGAGAAATTCAGCGAAAGCGTGTCTTTAAAAAAAGAAAAAAAAATATCGAATAATTTATAACCGAATTTAATTCACGAATGAAACTCGAAATCGTGATCCGTTCTAACGATGAGCAAAGATAGGGAGATAAAAATCGCGTTAGACGGATTTCTCCTGGAAAATGGACGAACGATCCATTCTCTCGGCAGATAGATAGATTCCATAAAACTCGCTTCTTGGGTAAACAGTGGCAATTTTCCACCTATCACATACAATTTGGCCATGCGATTAATGCCTCCGTGCGGAGATATCCGCATAGACGTACGAACGGATTCCGCGACGGATTAAAAAAGAACCACCGATCCGATATCCGTTCGACCCTGCTCGCGAGGGAAGCGGCGCGATTTTGAAGTGCTCGGCAAAATTGCTAAGCCAACATCCAACGTTTACTTAATTTTTCCCTAATAAATCAACCGGCCGATTATTGAAGCGTTTGGCGGAGCGAAACGAGGGGAGGCGATCCCCTCTGAAGAGAGAAAGAGAGAGAAAGAGAGAAAGAGAGAGAGAGATAGGTCCATTTGCAACGATAACGAGTGCAATTCCATTCCATGGACGGTGTGCACGCACGCACGCACGCACGCACGCACGCACGCATGCACGCACGCACGCACGCGTTATTCCGTGAATGGATTATAATTCTCGCTCCGCTTTTTCATCGGCGCGATCCCGGTATTGTGCGGAGATAAAATGTTGGCATGCGAGATAAATGCGAGTGTTATTGGTCGTAATGCAATAGACGGTTTACTTTTATTTTTTGATATTATCAGTAAAGATAGGGTGTGAGTGAATTTTTACACACGTATATCAGAAGTATCAGAGCGGTGAGAACGAATGGACAATTACTCGAGAATGAGGTTATGAATTCTCTGCTTTCAATTAAACTTTTTTTTCTTTTTTTTGTTGTTGTTGTTGCGTTTATTCATCTTGCATGTTTGCGCATGGGAAATTGAACGGGATTATGGATTAGTAGATAGTACTTATACGCATTTACGTACGTATATTCAAATTGTTAACTGTTACTGCGAGACGTGACTAAAATGATGAAGTGTAACCTAACCTATAATTAGATTAAACGTGTCGCTATTTAAATAGTAGGATGCAGTTGATCAGGATCGTGTCGTAACGTGCATTGTTGGGATTTGATGCCGACAGGCTCTTGTAATAGGCTAATAGTAGAATAAATTATATTTCACGATTTTATTAACTGTATAATCCAGAAACTATTATCTACAATAAAACCGGTATCTAGAATAATTCTATTGCTTATCTTGAGTCGTAAGTTCTAGGTCATAAGAAGTTGGCCAAATATCGTTTCTTAGGATCGTAGAAAGTTAAGACAATGAGAAAATCAAGATTTTTGAAATCGATAAATAAATTTTCATTACACGTGCGAACTAGTAACTTTGTAATTAAAGATTTTAAATTCTTTCTAGATCAACAATTTCTTTGCAAATATTCCTTCCCAAATCTTTTTCGAACAAACATCTCAATAAGGGAGAAAAAATCGATCGTTTCGCAAAGTAACGAGAACCTAATCTAAAAAAGAATATATATATGCTTGAGTAGCATGAAAGATGCGCATATCGTATGTAAAAGTTGCACGCGAATTTTCATCATAACGATAGGCTGCTCCACCCTTCGATCGCGTTAAGACTCGCA